GAAGCTTCCGGACGCTTGCCTGCAGCTTGCTTTCCCTAAACCCTAGACCCTAAACCCTAAACCCGAAACCCTAAACCCTAAACCGGAGTCCTTGCCTGCCTTGTGCGAGTGCGAGAGCCGAAACCCTAAACCGGTTTCGAGTCTTGGGAGCTGATCATGAAGTTCTGGTGCCCAAAAAGAGTCCGAAGAGGGCTTCACAAAGCACAGGGCGGCCACAGTTTCAGAAAACTCGGACACAAAGGTTTAGGTTTTAGGGTTTAGGGTTTAGGGTTTAGGGTTAAAGTTTACAACACGCAGGGAGGCGAATTGTGATAGTCTTGCCGCAATGAGTCAACATTTCCATCCAGCTGCTGGTGATGGTCAGTAGTTCAACTCATCGCTTCCTGTTCGAGGGTTTAGGGTTGGGGGTTTTAGGTTTTTTTTTTTGGCTCACCTGGTCTTGCGGTGTTTACGATTCTTGCTGAGATTCTGAGCTTGTCCACCCATCCGTCCTCACCGAGCTTTTTGCGCGGCTGTTATTCAGGAGTGCATTTGCTTCCACTCCATGATGGGCAGCTTTCTGTACCACCGCTACAAGGCACGCTCGCGTGGACAAACTTCGGCTTGGTCCCTCAGCCCTTCAGCCCTAAAGCACCATTGGGCTCCTGCAAGTCGCCCTGTCCTAAACCCTAAACCCTAAACCCTAAACCCGAAACCCTAAACCCTAAACCCTAAACCCTAAACCCTAAACCCCGCATTTGTACGGGTAGCCTCGGTCCCTGAGATTTTGTTTGTTGATGTGTATGACAGCCTTTGGTGGTTTCAGACTGGAGGGGGCTCACGTGAAGTTGAATCAAGGCGTGGTAGTACGAGGCAGCAGCCATTTCCCGGCGTTGAAGAGTTTTGGGAGAGTTAAATACTTGCTTGTTTTTTGATTGCGATGTTTTGGCTTTAATAAGAGGGAACTGGCAGGCAGAATGGAAGGTCAGGTCCGGGGTGGTGGACCCCCCCCCTTTTTCCGGCACAGCAATCTCATCGACGTCACCCTGCTTTGCGGTTCGGCCAGCTATGCGGGAGCGAAAAAAAAACCCTAAACCCTAAACCTCCGTTCCCCGGCAGGAATTCTACGCGTGGTCGATCCGGCATGGGCATGTCAAGTCGCTGCCTGCTGAGCACTGCTGCCCGCGACTACGGGTGGCCCATCACGCCTCCTCGCTGGAATTCAGGGTTTAGGGTTTAAAGGGTTTAGGGGTTCGGGGTTTGGGGTTTTGGAGGGGGGTTGGGTTCATAGGGTTTAGGGTGTAGCAGTTGGTTTGTAGGGTTCAGGCTGTAGGGATGTAACCCGAAACCCCAAACCCTATAAACCCTAAATCCTGGACCTTCAACCCTAAACCCGGAGATGGTGCTGCAGAAAACCCTAAACCCTAAGCCTTGCTTCGGGTGAACTTAAAGCAGCCTTTTTCATGGACCCGTGGACAGGGATGGTTTCTGGCAGTGGGTGACGTCCCAGCATCTTTGGGCTGCTTCTTGGGGAGAACCCTATTAGGGTTTAGGGTTTTGGTTTAGGGTTTAGGGTTTAGGGTTTAGGGTTTAGGGTTTAGGGTTTAGGGTTTAGGGTTTAGGGTTTAGGGTTTAGGGTTTAGGGTTTAGGGCCTAACCCGGCTGGCTGCAAGAGACCTGGATGCAAAAAGGGGGGCTAAATGGACCCTTTGTAGTTCATGTGCCTAAGAGAACTACAGTAGTACAGCGCATCTGACCCCACAACATTGGGGGTTCCTTTGGTCCCCTGCTGAATAAATACCCTTCCAGTGTTCTTTCGTCCCTGTGTTGAGACCTGTACAATCCTTTCATATTTGGAGGTTCACGGGAAGTTATGAGTAGGGTTAGAAGTATGGTAACAAAACTGATAACCCTATTGAGGTACTTCTAAAGCCTACCTATACCTACCCGAAGAGCCCAATATTGCTTAATTAAGGAATATACCTTAAATCATATTAAGGATCCCTATATGATTTAAGGAATATTCCTTAATTAAGCCATATTGGGCTCTTTGGGTAGAGGGCCTTTCCCCCATGATGCCGCACTGTATCTGGGGGTGGGTGGTTCTACCTGGGGGCCCCCCCGTATGGATCCCTGTGTACGTGAACCCGGCGCCCAAAGACAGGAAGAGGGTTCGAAACCCTAAACCCTAAACCCTAAAACCCTAAACCCTAAAACCCTAAACCCTAAACCTAAACCCCAAACCCTAGCTAAACCCTAAACCCTAAATTTTTCTGACAGTCCATCTCTCAGGTTCCATATTGGGGGATGGAGAACTGGAGCCGCTGCGGCAACGGTGGGACTGTTGTTGTACAGGGTTTGGACTTAGTGCGTAGAACATCTGGCAGGATGGCTTTCACGGACCTTGGGCTGAACTTCCAGTTTACGAAACCCAGGAAATGTGAGAAAAAGCAACTATATCCGATCTTTCAAGGCCGCACCCCCTCCCCCACAGCACCTTCAGCACTGTGCCTTTCATCGTGCTGGGATGTCTGCATGCTAGCTACTAGATTGTGCCAGCACAAGGATGGCGCGCTGGGGATACCACTACAAGCAATTGAAGCTGCTCAGCTCGAATCATGCGATGAGGAGGTGTCCGAGGGAGAGAGAGGGAGAGAGCGAGGGAGAGGGACAGAGAGAGAGAGAGAGAGAGGGCGAGAGCGGGCCCGAAACCCAAAGAGACTTCGAGGCCCCAGTAAGCAATTCCAAATCCCAATAAATCCAAGAAATCCCACATCCAGATACTCCCTCGAATCACCCTAAACCCTAAACCCTCAAAACTCAAAACCCTACATCCCAGGTTCGCCATCGCATGGAAGTCCCCTGCATCGGTCGGAGACCTCGCCTACCGACAGCGCAGCGCTGCGCTCCCCGGCGCCATGGGAGGAAGGGCTTGCGGCGCTCCCAAATGGAGCGCCTTTCAGGCACACTTCGTGTTGGAGCCCATTCTGAGCTCCTCTTTTTGGGGTTTCTAGGGTGTATAGGGTTCAGTCGAAGCACCTATTTGTACACCCCCTCCGCCACCCCCCCATTACGGGAGGTAGGACCTTGCTTTTGGTACTGCCGTGCATTGCATGTTGCTTTTTGGCACGGACGGCACCTGCCCTAGTGACGAGGCTGATGTTTGCGGGGCTGTGTGCTGTCCGCTGGGCACAAGGTTCGCTGCTGTTTGTTACTTTGCTTCGCATGAAAAGTGCTCCTAAGCAATCGGGATTCAGCAGAGCGGCACTATAGGGGAGCAGCAGCTGATTTGTGAGACGGGGCTGCTGTTTGCTGCACGAGCTTTTGAACGGAAGCCGATGTACAGTCATACAGTCATGTGGGTGGTTGTCAAAACTATGATCCCTTTTGATTCCTTATTTTCATATGGCACCTAATATTTAGGGTAACCCAACAGTATTCCAGCCGAGATGGAAGTGGCTTCAGACCAGCTTGCGCAGGCAACACGTCTTTGGCAAGAGGGCGTGACAGGACGCTGGCCTGCAGAATCAGTCATCCCCCAGCAGTCTTGCAGCAGTCTTGCGCAGCCTCCAACAAATCATCCTAAACCCTAAACCCTAAACCTCAGGGTTCCCGAGCCGAGCGTTGGTCAATCGTACAGAATGCTGCTCCATTTTCGAGTGCCAACTAGTGAAGAAACCAGGCCGGCCCGCATTGGGGGGTGGGGGGTCGGGGGGGAAGCCGAGCCTCACATCTCTGAGCGAGTTGAGTAGGGCTAAAGAGGCTTGCTGCATTTTGCTACTATTTGCTTAAAGAAACCCCCAAACAATGTAAAGAAAAAAGTAACGTAATTATCCCTTCTTTGTCCTTGTAAGGAGTTTTTTTGTTGGGGGGGGGTTCTTAAGCAAGTCGTAGTCCCACTGTACCTAGAGCTGGACATCGCAGGAAGAGCTGTGGAAGAGAGGATTTGGAACTCTTGCCTTGCGAGGCTGGTTGCGATCAACAGCAGCTGGCGCATTACAGACGTGGGCATGCTAGACGCTCCTCAGCTGGGTTTAGGGTTTAGGGTTAGGGTTTAGGGTTTAGGGTTTGGGGTTTAGGGTTTAGGGCTGGACACTTTCAGTAGCACCGTAGCTCCGGGGTTGGGGCAGGTTGCCTAGTTCCAGAACTCAGCCTTCGGCGGTGATGACTGCAATGGGCAAGCCCAAAGAGCCCAATATAGCTCAACTAAGGAACATACCTTAAGTCATCATAAGGATCCCTAGATAATTTAAGGCATATTCCTTAGTTGAGGGGTCTTGGGCTCTTTTGGGTGATGGCTAGAAGTATGTGTATCATAGTCGGGACTGTCAGCCCCAGGCAGTGAATCGGCCAATTCTTTGCTAGAAACGACTCGCAGGAGCAATTACTGAACTTAAGCCCTAAGCCGTGGGATGTTCCCCCTTATGCTAAGAGTCCTTAATGGGGATGATATTAGGGGTTACTAGAATCCCTATTGAAGACTGTTAGTACAAGCAAACCCTAAATCCGAAATCGCGGTGTCGGGGGGCCTCATGGCGAAAACAGATGCCTCAAACCCAAGTGAATCCGTGCCGAAATGCATGTTGACTTGAGTTTCAAGGCCCACACACCCGGTACTCGACCATTTTACTTTGAGCGTTGGCCAGACTTTTCGGGCTTCTGGCTCTTCACTCTTCAGTTTCTATGGCTTGGTAGCCCAGTGGTACCCTTTGATGGTTACTGGGCTACCAAGATGGGGATTCCTACTGTGTAGCGAAGGTTTACGTTCAAGTCGCTACCCGAAACCCTAAACCCTGAACCCTAAACCCTAAACCCTAAGCCCTCACCCCCAAGAGGGCAGCGGTTGGGCAGTGGGATCCCTTGTTCATGCGCCTCCTGCGGGCCAATGGCCCTGCCACAGCGGAGCTGCTTCGCCTAAGCTAAAGGCATGACACACCTCAGCTTGACACGGTTTAGGGTTTAGGGTTTAGGGTTTAGGGTTTAGGTTTTAGGGTTTAGGGTTTAGGGTTTAGGGTTTAGGGTTTAGGGTTTAGGGACGGCAGTTGAAGGGTCCATGTACCTCATGACTATATCCTTGGGCCCTAAAGTACCTGTATAGGAGGTACTTTATAAGGCCCAAGTATATAATACTTAGGTACATGGACCCTTCGGGGTTGTATCGCAGACCTGTAAGCCCTAAACCAAAGAAACCCAGAAGTAAGCCCTATAAGTCTATAAGCCCTATCTACACCTAGCGCACCTTCAACCCAGCATTCTGAATTCACAGTCTCAAGGCCTCTTTCCACAGACTGCTTCAGCAGCTGAAACCTAAAGACTCCCCGAAGAAATCTGCACACGCGCAATCCAATCTCAGGCGCAACACGATCTGTGCGTCCAGGGTCTTGCGCTCCTCGAGGGGCGTGGCACATGGGAGGACCGGAAGTAAGAGCAGCTGTTCCGGGCGGGTTTAAGGGTTTAGGGTTTAGGGGTTAGGGCATGATTCACTCAAACAAATGGCATGTTTCAAAAAAGGGCACCCCAGTGAGCCCAAGTTGGGTGTAAAGGGTTGGCGGATGCTTAGCTGTTGCGCTGGTCGGGTTGGATCCGCCGCACCGAGTCCCCCCGCACATCTAGTACCATTTGCTCCAACCACCCCCCCCCCCCCCCACAACAAAAAACAAATCAGAACGAAAAAACACACACACCTATAGACTATATTTATAGATTATATGTAAGCCAATTAGGTAAAATTCTCTTCGTTATAAGGGCAACCTAAGGATTGTCGTCTCTCATTCCTTGGGTGTTCCTTAGCAAAGAGTCGTCGGTCAAAAGGATTATTGGAGCCCTTCTTCGGTTGGATGCAGGATCACACTTGGAGGTTTCGGGTTTAGGATTTAGGGTTTAGGGTTCAGGGTTTAGGGTTTAGGGTTTAGGGTTTAGGGTTTAGGGTAACTAAACTTATAACCCTATTTAGGGTACTTATAACCCTACTTATAACTACCCATGAACCTCCATGTATAGGGGGTCGGACTAACTACTAACAGTATTCCGGTATGATCCCTACATAGTTATACTTTGGGATGTTCCCCCTTATACTGTTAGTGCTATTAAGGTAATAGGGATTATAGTGGCTTGATGAAGACCTGTACAACAGAGACCAAAATACCCTGAGCCCTAAAACCTTCAATCCCTAAAACCCTAGAACCCTAAAACCACCCCAAAAAGCCTGAGCCCCTAAACGCCTAAAATACCCTAAACCCTAAACCCCAAATCCCAAACCCTAAGCCCCAAACCCTAAACCCCAAGCCCCAATCAACCCCAGGACCGCTTGCTAGCTCGCACGTTCCCGGCTGAGAAGTGGCCCGAGGAGGAGGCGCAGCATGCGGTGCCGCGGTTCCTATACATGCCCTAAACGCACATCCCGCATCTTGCGTGCACTCCAGAAGCTCTGGGGTCTTCACACGTCTTGGAGCTAGGTTGTCAATTCAACAACAAAGATAAGTACTGGCTTCAGCGCCGATTTCGCCGCATCATCTTTGTTCATATAATTCAAACCCTCTGCTTTTGGGACGCCAAGCAGACGTCTCACTCACAGCGGCTATCCGATGACTTCGGGCCGGATTAGCTTGACACGAGAGCAGCGTCGGATATCCTCACACAGGGCCCACAGCTCTGAGGAAAGTTTCCTCAGAGTCACTGCTCGAAGCCAAGCCCCAAGCTCCCAAAATGACTGTGCACCTAAACTTCATCACGCTTCCCGCCGCCATGCTACCGCATCGGGCAAGGGACGGCAAGAGGCGGAGTCTTGCCAGCAGTTCAGATTGGGTAGCTTAGGGCCTCGGATCTCAGCATCGGTAGCACGTGGTCTCTGAAGGACGTGGGTATCGTCACATTGCTTGGCTCTCACTGTGCGCGAAGTCTAAAAGCGGCTCAGAGGTTTAGGACGAAGGATTGGCCCTGGACCCAGCCCAACCATGGGGTGGGTTTAGGATGAGACTGAGTTCGGAAAAGAGTCAGCGTTCCTACGTTAGAGGCCTCTATGCTGAGAGGAGTGCAGCAATTGTAGACCCCTAATCCTGACCCGAAACCCTAAACCCTAAACCCTAGACCCCAAACCCTAAACCCTAAACCTTGTGATCAGAGGCGCAACGAAGAGGCCCTTTGCTAGCGGCCCATGCGTCGGATCTACCCGCAGATCCTGCAAGCAGAGCAAGCGATCCAGGACTGACGGTCCCTCGCGAGCAGGGCTGGGTTTAGGGTTTAGGGTTTAGGGTTTAGGGTTTAGGGTTTAGGGTTTAGGGTTTAGGGTTTAGGGTTTACAAAAAGGGTTTAGGGTTTAGGGTTTAGGGTTTAGGGTTTAGGGTTTAGGGTTTAGGGTTACCCTTGGTTGCTCACCTGGGCCCAGGGTAGGCCCTTACTCCCTTTCGTGTAGGGTTTAGGTTCCCTGAAAGCCCCTGTAAACCAGCAAGGGCACCCTTTTTTATTCCTTGGTTCCTCTTGGGTCTAGCCACTTGTCCCTCGGAACTGGTTGACGATTGGGTGTCTTTTGTTTGCATGTGGTGTGTGAGTGGCGGTGTGGGAACCAGGGGAAAACAGTGGGGTCGGTGAACGTGTTGGTGATCGACTGGTAGAGCGCAGGACAATACCACTTCAGGCAAACCACTTTTATGCCCTAAACCCTAAAGCCTAAAAAACGTTTGCAGTGCTAGTGGTGAGGTTGCAGCTGCTAAATCAAATATCGTGTCATCTGGATTGGGTTTGGGACGGCCATACGCGAATCGCCTGGCTGTAGGTTTAGGGTTTAGGCTTAGGGGGGCCTGTAAGCAGCTTCGCTTCAGGCAGGCATCGGCTTGTCCCGAACTACATGTAGAAAATTGATGTTAGAGGGCACAATTCCGCCATATCGGCTGCCAAATGGCCTTCATACTCGTGTGGCAGGTGCTGCTGCAGTCATGATCAGCACCCTAAACCCGAAACCCTAAACCCTAAGTAATGTGACACATGTGCACTCTCGGGCCTGCTGTGGGTCCCAGTGCACCTAGCCTGCGTTGCGGTGCGGTTAGGGTTTAGGGTTTGGGGTTTAGGGCTTAGGGCTTAGGGCTTAGGGCTTAGGGTTCGCCTTGGGGTTTCGGGATGGTTTTCAAGAACCATGCCTCAGAGGAACTTCGCTCGGAGCTCGCCCAGAACGAAGTAACCTCGCGGGACTGGCTCCGCGGCGAGTTGCTGGAGTTTACAGTTTTGGGTTTAGGGTTTAGGGTTTTGGGGTTTGGGGACTTTGTTTGTGGGTACATGCATGTATGTGCTCTGCAGAAACGATATATCACGGGGCGTCAATCGTGTACAGAGCGAGGGCAAACAAGAGCCACCCTTTCAAATTCTCAGAATTTAATTTAGCACACCCCCCCCCCCCCTTCCCCCCTACCTTCCCGCCCCCCCCCCCCCCCCCCCCCCTGCTTTCAACATGTGGGTCTAAGCCGGCAAAGTGGACGCGAAAGACGAGGCCCCACGGCATCCCTTGTTGAGCAGTGGTTGCCTCAACAGTGCGTATCTTGAAGATCCAATCAACTACTATAGTCCCTAGTTTAGGATGTATGGTTTTTATGGGGGTGTATTGAACAAAACCCTTTGGGGGTTCGTTTGGTCCCCAAGGAATCAGTGCTTTTTCAACCGCGAACCATTGCCCAAGCCTAAACCCTAAACTGTGGCCTCTTCTCAACGGATCGATGGGAGGACCAGCACGTGGAGCTCAATGATGCAAGCGACCAGATTCAGTCGCTGCGGACCGGGTCCTAAGCCCGTAAACCTCTCATTGCGCTCGCAATCCATTTGGTTTTACATCCGGTGGTTGCGTTGACCTGGCTTCTGAAGGTTTAGGGTGTAGGGTTTTAGGGTTTAGGGTTTAGGGCAGCATGGGGTCTGCTTGGGAAGGTTGACTTGTTGGGAGTCGATCGACCTTCCTGAGAATCCAAGGCCCATAGCCCATGTTGTCACATCTTCCCTGGCAGCTTGATCACAACAACGAGGCTTCAAACCTCCAACCACACCCCCCCCCCCCAAAAAAAAAAAACCTGAACCCTGAACCCTAAACCCTAAACACTAAACACTAAACCCTAAACCCTAAACCCTAAACCCTAAACCCTAAACCCCCTCCCTTCGCAGGAACTCACTGGGGGCCGTGGAGCGTCAGAAGGCAGTCCGTCGCCAGTCCATCTCGATCTCCAGGCTGGGCTTGCTCCTAAAAGCTCACAAGCCCCCCCCCCCCCCCCAAAAAAAAAAAAAAAAGATAGCCCTCCGCTGCAAACCTGCAGCTGGCTACGGGCGGTAAGGCTGTAGGTGGTGGTGAAGGGCATGGGGCAGGGAGATTGTGACAGCTTCTGCCTTTCCATCGAACATTTGTGAGACCTGAGATCCTGGAGTCAGCCGCAACCGCCTCCCGAGGGCCCGAGGGCGTTCTGCCGAATGATGGTTCAGGCCTGTCCCAAAGGGTCCTAAGTACCTATAGGGGGGACACTTACCCAAACCACAATTGCAATTCCTATGAGAGAAACACTAAACGTCTACCGTGTAGGTACTTCGGACCCTTGGGTGTGTTGTGAGAATATGGGTTCTGCTTGGGCAGGCACAAGACCCAGGAGCTCCAGGACGCTCCACTGCACTTCGTAGCAAGATGCTGTACGTTTAGTTCTTGGAGTGCAGGGTTTAGGGTTTAGGGTTTGGGGTGTGGGGTTTAGGGTTTAGGGTTAGTCAGGGACATGGGGCATGGGCCATGGGGCGTTGAAGAGCTTTTGGGTTGGCGACGGTACCCAGTCTGGCGAACTGGGAAAAGACGTGCGCGACTCAGGAAAGAATCGTGGCCTCGAACCGCGATGAGGAAAGCTTGGCATCGGAGCTTGGTGCGTCTTCGCTGCATCGGAACACTTCCGCGAGGTGATACAATGGGCCTTGTTCTGGATTTTGTCCGGGTTTTCGGGAGGCTCAGTCGGCTTTCGCATGGAACTTCTGACTCGCAACCTGAAACTTCAGAGTTTAGGAGTCTGAAGCCTCCGAAAATAAGGAGCTGTAGGGTGATCACGGCACTTTTCCCAGTGCCAGCCCAGCCCAGCGAGACGGATAGAATTCTTGGTGGAAAAGGTGGACGCGACCCATTTGCGTTTAGATATACAGCCTAGGACCCAGAGTAAGCCCTTATTCCCTCTTTTGGGGTTTCGGTTCCCACGTCAGCCCCTTTAAGGGCACCTTTTTGGGGTGTCCTAGAGCAGCTGACTCTGAACCCAAGCTACTGGTGGGCAGCCGAGGTGTATCTTGAGGAAGGCGTCCGTGACACTTGGGGCACTGGTGTTCAGCTGTTCAGATAGTTGGGGTGTTCCCCCTCAGTCCTTCATAGGGATTAACATAGGGGGTAGTAGGATCCCTTCTTCGGAATTTGTATAAGGGAACATCCCAACCTATGCGGCCCAAAACCCTTTGGAACCCCTGCACCTTAAGCAATATAGCAGCTGAGCTGCAGAGGAAGAAGGGGCTAAACCCTGAAACCCCTTCGACTCAGAGAGCCCGATTCGCCAGACGGGTGGCAACAAGATGGGAGCAGGGCAGAAGAAAGCCTTGGGCTTTCCGAATAGTCGGCTAGGACCGGGAGTAGGCCCTTTTTTCCTTTTTCTAGGGTTGGGGTTCCCTTGTAATCCCCTTAAAACCAAAAAGGGTACCCTTTTTATTCCTAGCTTACTCCCGGGTCTAGTTGGCTTGTGTTGGAATTTAGGGCCTGTGGTTTGGAGAAGCACCCGAAGTGGCTGAACCCACTGCCACACTGCTTGCTGCGAAAGCAACAAGCCCAGCCCCAATAGCCAGGCATGAAGCACTTGAACCACGGAACCCTAAATCCTAAGCTAAATCCCCTCAAAGGGTAGTGGAACCCCGATATAGTAAGCCCCGCCCATAGAGCGCCCGTGAACCCCGTAGAGTGCCCGGGGCTCTGCGGCGACCATTCTCTGAACCCCCAAGGTTGCAATCTTGAGTCGCCCCCCGTTGGAGGTTCATGGGTAGGTATAGGTAGGGTTATGAGTATGGCAACTATACCCCGAACCCTTTGAGGGTGCTTAGAACCCTACTTATGGGTTTAGGGGTTTAGTTTTTCGGGTTCTACCCATGAACCTCAAGTAGGAAACCCTGAACCCTACACCCTGAAGCCTCTGAAGCATCTCTCGGCACGCTTCCGAACATAAGGAAAGTGCGCTGCTCGAGGAGGCTGCAGCCAAACGGACAGCCATCCTGTCCCAGGTGGAGAAACCCTAAACCCTAAACCCTAAACCCTAAACCCTAAACCCTGACTTGAGGGATGCGGGAGGTTGTTCTAAGCCAGGGTGTCTCCCTGAACCAGGGCTTCCCCCCCCCCCCCCCCCGGAACCAGGACCCCTGAACCAGGATTTAGGGTTTAGGGTTTAGGGTTTAGGGTTTAGGGCCCCCTGAACCCAGATCTCCTGAAACCCAACGAACCCTACTGTCGAACAAGCCGCATGATGGGTGGGGGGGGGGGGGGGGGGGGGGGGGGGTGGCGGGGTGGGGGCTTACAAAGTTCAGTGGTGGCTTTGGTGCCGTGTTACAGCGTGGGCCGGGCGCAACTGGATTTTTTAGGGTTTGGGGTGGGGGCGGTTGAAGTTTGCAAGTTAACGGTAGTTGGCATCTTTGGCAGAACAGCGGTCCTCAACTCACAGCCCCTGAGATTTGAAGCTTCCCTGAACCCCTTTAACTCCTAGCCCTAAACTCCCTAAACCCTCAAACACCCTACAGCCCTTTCTATCGACTCCTGGCTCCTGAGGTGCATCGCACGGAGGAGACCATTCAAGACACGGCCAGCCGGGGCTCGGGTGCTGAGGACCGACATTTGAGGTTCCACTCAGGGCTCCTACTGGGTTTAGGGTTTAGGGTTTAGGGTTTAGGGCTGAAGAACCCCAAAAGAATAAAAAACAAATAATGATGCCTATACTACCCTTAGTAAGGAAGAACATTTTGTTCGGGGTTCTTGGGCAATTCGTAGGCTCCGAGATACACTTCCAGCTGCTAGCAGCCACTACGGCACTGCTGTGCCCTGAGGAGAGTTGCTCCGGGATCCAGTTCTCGCTGAAAAAATTCACGCGCGAGGCAGATAACCTGCAGAACGAAGCTGGGCAGGCACTTGCCACACTGACCTGACCTCCATGTGCACAATCATGCCCAATGCCAATCTTCCTTGCAGGGTGTTGACTCGCTTCTTTGCTCGACGTACCTCAACTCTTGAAGCTGCGTAGTTTCTCAACCCTCGAAGTCTAATACTTATAATATAAGGGCCGGAATAGTTACTAATAATATTCCCTTAGGGTCCCTTTAGCAATGTACTATAAAAACCCCGAAAACCCTATTCCAATTATTCAGGCCCCTCTGTTAGGTAGGCACTCTGGGCCAGGCTGTGCTGTCATGATGGTTTGGCTTGGCAAGCGCTCATCGGGGGCTGCTCATGGATTGCTCAATCCCCAAAATCGCCCACGGCTGTGGTGATCTTCTGTTGCAGCCCTTGGCTGCAGGAACCAGAAACCCTGGACCGTCATAAGCTTTCGACAAGCCCAAAGAGAGCCGAGGAGTTGGCAAGCGCCAACTACCACAGCACGCGGCCACATGTCTGACATCTGCTGCGCTGCCCTGAACCCTAAACCCTAAACCCTAAACCCTAAACTCTAAACCCTGGTCGTTTTGGGAAGACTTGAAGCTGCCCCCCTTTGACTTGCATAAGACCTTGTGGGCACGTGATTGCTCGCCAATACGATGTGATCGCATTCTACTCTCTCCTTCTGTTTCTCTCTCGCTCTCCCTCCTTCTCTCTCTCTCCCTCCCTCCCTCCTTCTCTTTACATTTCTTTGTCCCGAAAGCTTCAGCGAATGGTTTATCAGGGGCCACGGCGGCAAAGTAACCCTAAACCCTAAACCCTCAACACCTAGACCCCTAAACCCCTAAACCCTAAACCCTAAACCCTAAACCCTTCGCCCAGGCAGCGGCGCTTCATGGCGGAGGAGGAGTCGGAGGCCTCCTGGCAGTACGACAACACCTGCGAGGCCTTGCGGGCTGGGGTTTAGGGTTTAGGGTTTAGGGTAGTTTAGGGTTTAGGGTTTAGGGTTTAGGAATTAGGGTTTAGGGTTTAGGGTTTAGGGGTTTTCGAACATCGCGTCCTTTGTGATGCTATCTTCAAGCTGCTGTGGCTTGCCTGGGTTTTTCTTTCTGTGGCCGACATGTGTTCTCAGCCCTGCAAAGCCTAAAGCCTAAACCCTAAACCCAGGAATTCAAGAGCTTGAGGTCTTCATGAGGGTTTTCAAGGTGTGCTTTCTCGATTCTTTGTGCTTGTGGAAGGCACACGAGGCCAACGCTCAAGGGCACCAGCGGGCGGCTTGCCTTCTTATGGCAGATTGCAGCATTCTTTGAACTATAGCCCCCTTAGTCATATAAAACCCCAAGGATGCTTAACATAAGATTTCTGAAGGGGGGTACAGTGAAGATGCCAGCCCTACACCCTAAACCCTAAACCCTAAACCCTAAACCCTAAACCCTAAACCCTAAACCCTAAACCCTAAACCCTAAACCCCCTAAAAAACGCCTCATTTTGGGCCTTCAGGTGGACGCACTGGAGGACTGCCGCCGGCGGCTCATAGCACGGCTCCAGGAACTTGAGGATGCCGAGCAGGAGGGCGACGAGCTGCTCGGTCGGTTTTTTTGGGGTTTAGGGTTTAGGGTTTAGGGTTTAGGGTTTTTGGGGACATTCTCTGTAGTTTCTAGGTTTTGGGTCCTTTCATGTCTTCCCTTATTGGGTTTAGTTTGTGGGACATTTTACACATTTCCCCTTATTTTGGGTTTAAGAGGAATCATATAATTCCAGGAGTATTGTTTTCAGAGAGCTTTAAGGGCCATCCGAGGCTGGTGGTGAAGCTGAGTCAGGCGCATGACGTGGGGGTTGTTCTCTCCACAGCCTTGGGTGATCTCCATCAGCTTGTGGCGGATCGCAATGGGGTCCTCGAGGAAGTGTGTGGGGAGCACAGCGACTTGCGGAGAAAGCTGCAGGTCAGGGACCCAAAACGGACATAAGCATAAGCATTTCATAGGGATATCCCTACCTTATTGGGCTTCATTATAAGGGGGTTTATATGGGATATCCCTATCCTTTTTTTGCTTATGTGCTTTTTTTGGGGGCCCTAGCAGGAGTCGGAGCAGCAGTCGCAGCTGGCCCAGGATGAAGCAAACGAGCTGGCGAGCGCCCGGGATGAGACGCACGCGCGCGAGCGCCAGGCGCACGAGGAGCTGCGGACGGCGGAGGTGCGCATGCAAGATGCCGAAGGAGCCATGGAGAGGGATCACAAGGAGGCAGAGACTCAGTTGCTGGAGGCCAGCCGTCGTCGGGCCACCTTGCACGATCAGGTTGGGCAGCTCCATGAGCATCTCACCAATAACCTGCAGCAGCGCATGGAGGGGCTGGAGGAGGAAAACAAGCATCTACAAAGCAAAATCTCCTTTTTGGAGGAGGACTGCGCCAAGATCTCTGCCGAGAACGCAGACATGGAGCAGTTGATTGAGAAAGTCAAGAAGAAGCCGAATTGTGTAATATCATAAAAAACGATGTTCGTTAACTCATGGGCAGCTGCCCGCAGTCGAGAGCACGCGCTCAAGTGTCCGCATGATGCACGCGAGTCGGGTTGTGCAAAAGGCGCAGCCCGCGTGTGCTGCAACCGGGTCTACACCAAGGCTGGCCGCTCGCCACTGCAAACTCTACAGCACATACGCATCGCGCAGCAGTTGTATCTGATCTTCCGTAGCTAGTTGCTTTTCGTTTGACAAGCATCAGCAAGAAGAGCTTCTTATTGATGTCTGTATTTCAAGCCTCCCCACCCCACACCCCTGCTCCCCCTCGCGTTGAGCAGCGGCTTGGGGCACGCAGCGAAGTAATTGCGCATGCGCGCAGATCGAGGAGACAGGGATGAGAGGCTCAAGCATCAGGGTTTAGGGTTTGGGGTTGAGGGTTTAGGGTTTGGGGTTTAGGGTTTAGGGTTTAGGGTTCATTTGGGTTTCAGGGTTTAGGGTTTAGGGTATCATGGTTTGGGATTTAAGATTGGGGCTCTTTCCGGGTTTCTGGGCTTTGTGTGTCGGGCTTCATGCAGACGCGGGGTGCGTAAGTTTGGGGTGTCTTTAATCCATGGGCAGGACCTTACATGACACCACCGTGTGGGCGTAAGGGCGTTGACGGAAGCTGCATTTTTCTGAGCTAAGTGGAGGGATCCTACTCAACCTTGAACCCTAAACTGCAGGAGCACGAGGGTTCAGGGCTTAGGGTGCTTTTAGGTGGAAGTTCCACTTGAGCAGCAAGAGGATTCCACTCCCTGCAAAAATGTGTTGCTGGGTTCAAGTACCTCCTTTGAGGGTCTACAGCCTACTCTAGGTAGTAAACGGATGAGTTCCCATGTCAGGTTAGGTTTGAACATAAATCTTACTCTTATTCTTAAGAACCACAAAAAACAAGCACATCTTTGACAGGCCCCCAAAATTTAAAATATACTTCTTACTCTTAGTAAAGCCACAAAAAGCAAGCACGTTTTTCTAGGGCCCCCCAAACCCTAAACCCTAAACCCTAAACCCTCAACCCTCAACCCTCAACCCTCAACCCTCAACCCTCAACCCTCAACCCTCAACCCTCAACCCTCAACCCTAAACCCTAAACCCTAAACCCTAAACCCAAACCCTAAACCCTAAACCCTAAACCCTAAACCCTAAACCCTAAACCCTAAACCCTACCCCAGATTTGGTAAAGACTTCCTGGAAGCCCAGCTCCAAGGAACGCGCATCAGCCTCCACCCTCCCAAGTCGATCGTTTAGGGTTTAGGGTTTAGGGTTTAGGGTTTAGGGTTTAGGGTTTAGGGTTTAGGGTTTAGGGTTTAGGGTTTAGGGTCTGCTGCAAAAAGGTTACTTTTAGCTCTCTTTGGAGACTGGACAAGTAACTACTATCTGCTTAAGAAGCCCACAAGCACAAGCCCTTATAGGGAAGAATATAATATATATATATATATATATATATATCTATATATAGTTATATTTATTTATGTTTTTGTTTTTAGTTTTTTTGCGCGGGGTGGGGAGGCGAGTTCTTAAGCAATTCGTAGGTAAGGCGGGATGCTACGCTTTGCCATGAGCTCTCACCTTTTCACCTCGGTCAGGCCGGTTTGGCCTCTTCACGAAAAGCGTGAGGAGGTTTAGAGAGTGCTTTGCCGATGGGCAATGCAAAAAACAAAGGCACGTCTCTGCATTCTGCAAAGTGGTGCGGACAGGAAACCCGGAACTAAATCGAAATTGTGTTGAACAATGCTAGACTCCTAGACCCTAAGCCCTGAATGCTATGCTGCTTCTCGTGCCCTTGCATCGCGAGACCCTTGGGGATGCCACGGCAGAGAGAGGGAGAGAGAGAGAGAGAGAGAGTGAGAGAGACTGAGGGAGAGAAACCCCCGAAGTGTGGCGCAGGCTGCTGCTGTAAGCAGGTGGCTTTTTCGCTGCAAACGATAAACTCACCAGTGTGAGCTAGAGAGTTTAAGCCCGAGTATTTGGGTTCTTCGCCTTATGACTTCCCAGCTCTTCCAAACCCCTGAGTTTAGGAAAAAATCCCAATTCATACTAAGTTCCTTAATTAAGGGGTTTTGGAAGATCTGGACAGATGTCCCTGCAGGCACCGCACTGTGGCAGCGCGACGCCACGGCGGCAACCTGCTTGCAGTTGTTTGCACGGGGGGAAGGGGGGGGGAAGGGGGTCGGTACCCCAAACTCTATACACATTGTGTGTCTTCTACGTACATACATAGACATGTATATATATATATATACGTACATGTATAAAGAGCATACCGAAAAGAAGAGACCCAAGAAGTGACTCCAAATTGGAGTAGCCCATCGCCAGCAGATTTTGCGAGGCTCCTGGTCCAGTACCGGCGGCTTATGGCCAACTACGTCTACATTCCTTTCCTACCATCGAAAGAAGACGCGCCACCTGAAGAAAAAAATGGCGAAGCTGGCAGCCTTGATTTAGGACTAAGGGCTGTTAGCCAGCTTGGCAGGCATATGGGCATTTCCCAGAACAGGGGAACCCCTAGTAGCGACGGTGCAGTCGCATTCCCGTCTCAGGCAGTTGCATAGCACGGGTTCGAAAAACAGGGGTACCCCTAGTATTCCCCGATTCTTGCAAACCCCCATATATGTACATATATAGATGTACACAAAGATGTATTTACTATATATATATATATATATATATGCAAGCATTTACATTAAAATTATTTGTTTAATCCTCTATTCGCTGCAAGTTTTGGAGGAAAAGGGCTTACAGTTGTTTTCCTGATATCGAGTTTAGTGTCTCCATGAAAAATCCACCATATACTGCCCAAGATGTTTCCTGTAAGGCCGTGCTGCGTCTGCAGGGATCGTTGCGAACGGGAGACAGGAGTATTGGAGACCCTAGACTGCATGCCACGCCGCAAGCCCTCTCTCCTCTTGAAGCGATCAACACGAGGAGCACGCGATGTTGGACACACCCGATTGACATACCCTAAGCCCTTTACCCTGTACAAACCCTTTCGTCCATCAGTCGACACCCAACCCGGGCAAGTAGAAGTGGGCAATTAAGTTTCAACCCGAAACTCGAAGCCCTAAACCCTAAACCCCAAACCCCAAACCCCAAACCCCAAACCCCAAACCCTAAACCCTAAACCCTAAACCCCAAGCCCATCAATCAACAGCGGGCGCTCTCTGCTCCGGAACCCTGCCATGGCAGTGCAAGCAGGTGCTTGCGCAAGAGGGCGACAGGGCTCCGAAACCTAAGGCTAGGGTTTAGGGTTTAGGGTTTAAGGTTTAGGGTTTAGGGTTTAGGGTTTCCCAAGCCTGGGTACCGTGCGGACCACATGAACCCTAATAGGGTTTATGGTTCATAGACCCTCACAGGTTGGAATGTTCTCCCTTCTTCTAACAGTCCTTAATGATATCACCGGGAACATCCCAACTTATTGGCCCAAACCCTAAACCTTAAGCCCTAAACCCTAAGCCCTAAACCCTACTAGTAGTACCGGGTGTCTGACTCCCAAGTTGAGGGGGGTTCCTTTGCCATCAAGCTGGGCCCGGGCCTTCGTCATGTGCCCGGGGGCACCCGCGGAGCCCTTTCCACCCCTTAATTAAGGGTTTAGGGTTTAGGGTTTAGGGTTTAGGGTTCAGGGTTCAGGGTTCAGGGTTCAGGGTTCAGGATTTAGGGTTTAGGGTTTAGACATTAAATTGTATAGGGGCCCTGAATATGCTTAAAGGATGATGCCTTAGATTTCATAGGGACTCTTTATATGATTAAAGGAAGATACCTTAAATGATACACTTAACATGATTTACGGTATATTCCTTAGTTAAGAAGTATTGGGCTCTTTGGGCATGTCGCGAACTGACCATGTCCAAACTCGCGATGCAGGTCGCAGCCTGTGGCCAGCGTCCAAATACAAGCAACCCTAAACCCTAAACCCGATAAACCAACATTCCAGCCAGAAAAACAGATTCCGCGGCAGCTGCACATCTTCATTCAAGTAGGGGCTAACTTTGTGGTCTGCGGCGGCACCCAGCTGTCAGCTAGTACCCCGAGCTGGGGCTTCCGAAGTCAGCAGCTGAGCTAAGTCCCTCCCCACCACATCGATTTCTGAACCTGTCCGAGGGGAGGGAGGGTGGCGACGCTAGGCAGGAAACCCAATATGGACTCGCATGAAGTCCCCAAGCCCTCTCGACACTAGACTTGTTTGGCGTACAACTTGGAGTCGCATGGGTGCTTGTAAGCAGGGTTATAAGTACCCTAAGCCTACAGGCGCAGGCTTCACTCCCATCCACCACTTCACCGACCTTCAGCCGGAGCCGCCGGCGACGCTGCTAGGCCTTGGGCCATAGAATGCCCAGATCTTCCAAAGCCCCTGAATTCAGGAATATGTTTAGGGTTTAGGGAATTAGGGTATAGGTAGGGTTTAGGTTTAGGGTTTAGGGTTTAAGGGTTTAGGGTTTATGGGGTTTAGGCTTTAAGGAATATGCCCTAATGTAGACTAAGGATCATACTTATGAAGTAGGGTACATTCCTTAGTTAAGGACCATGCCCTAATGTATGCTAAGGATCATAATCATGAATTAGGGGCATGTTTCCTTAATTAAGCTATTTCGGAAGATCTGGGTGGTTCCCAGGGGTCATACTTTGAGAGCCCTTAATACGCCCTTAGATTACGGAGCGTGTACCTTAGATGATATAGGGCTCCTTAGTGTGATTTAGGGTCTATTCTTGAATTGAGGAATCTTGGGCTCTTTGGGGAGTGTATGCCTTGCTTATAATAATGTATCATTTCAAGGCATTTTGGCCCTTAATTCAGGGGGGATTTAGGGGCTCTCTGGGCTTATGCCAACGCGAAAAGGACCTGCAACCTGTTTGTTGTTGGCGCATGGGGGGGAAGGTTCCGAACCCTAAACCCTAAACCCAGTTCAGGTCTATAGATCTCCAACTCGAACAGCTCTTCAAGGTGCCCGGAAGGTGCCATTAAAGAATATGCCCAGCTCAGAGGTCCAAAGAGCCCAACATCCCTTAGTTAAGGAATTGACCCCAAAGAGCCCAATATAGCTTAATTAAGGACTATACCTTAAATCAGATTAAGGATAGCATTATGATTTAAGGTAAGTTCCTTAACTAAGCAATATTGGGCACTTTGGGACCTCAGATCATATACTCAGGGTCCCGATATCATTTCAGGTATACTCCTTAATTAAGTGGGGTAGAAAGGGTTTAGGGTTTAGGGTTGGCTCTCGGAGAGTATTTCCAGCTCAGAGGAATTGAGCCTTCAAGACGCCTTCAAAGCCCTTCAGAGCCAGGTCAAGGCTTCGTCCCACCGGACTTCAGCACGCTTTGTGCCCAGGGCCTTCGGGGGTTTAGGGCTTAGGGTTTAGGGCTTAGGGCTTAGGTTTTGGGTGTATAGGGTTTAGGGCGACTTGTAGCTTGCACACCAGGAGACCTGAAGCAACAAAATGGTGACAACCAGGAGCTCCGGGATTAAGGTTTGCGTGTGCCTTTGGTGCGTAGAGGGATGAAGGCCGCTTTGCACGGTCTCCTCTTCGATTCGATGCGTCCACAACCGAGAAAGAGATCGGAGCGTCGAATAGCAGTACTGGTGCACCCTCCTTCCTGTGTCTTTCAGAGACCTTTGCATAAGTCACCACAATGCCACAATGCTGCCCTCACCGGCAGCGGCAGACTTTGAAACAGCCCTCGCAATCTGGCGTCTGGCATGAGACGATCGATATGCGTGCGCACGCGCATCAGGCACATTGCTGAGAACCAGTTTTCAGAATAGGCAGGCCTGAGATTTGTACATATATATTTTTTTTCTAGAACATAACTTCCCCCCTCCTCTCCTCCCCCCCCCCCCCCGACAAAAAACAAGAAACAACGAAGCCCTAAGCCTCTGAGGGGTGGGATCCGCGCTCTGCTGGCGAGACTAGTGAAGCAGGTCCCGGCTAGGGCTACGAGACGTGTTCGAGGGTTTATATAGGGTTTAGGGTTTTTGGGCCTTCTGAAAAGCACGAAACCTTCAACCCTTGGAATCCCTGCTCACTGGTTCGTCCAGTTGGGTGGGTGCCGAAAATATCCTGGTTTAGGGTTTAGGGTTTGGGGGTTTCGAGACGTCACGGCTTCAAGTTCGAGCGAGTTTGGCACGTATGGGTCGCAAGAGATTCTAGGCCAAGGGAGGTTTGGCGCTTAAACCTTGGTTCTGGGATCGGAAAAAGGGGGCTTGAGGTTACGAAGCTTCTGGAACGAGCACCCCGACACATTGACCATGTTCATTGGGTCGGATTAGTCTGTTGAGGGTTCAAAAGTTCATGATCCTTCTTGAACCCTACAGTAAACCCCAGAAAGTTGGAACATGGTTTAAAACCCCAAATCCCAAAGCCTTAAACCCTAAACGGATGATTCTGAGCTTGGCTTCCCTTTAGAGTGCCTTTTGGGTATGGGTTATCTAAGTTCTAGAGATATGTGGGGTATGGTTTCTAGTCCAGCTAGAGGGGTCTAGACGTCAGGGCTTTGACGGGGCGACGATGGGATGACGACGGCGCGACGACGGGGTGGCGACGGGGCGACGACGGTGTGACGACGGCGCGACGACAGGGTGCGATGGCGCGACGACGGGGTGACGACGGGGGGACGACGGCTGTCGCGCCGTCGTCACGCCGTCGTCGCGCCGTCGTCCCGCCGTCGTCCCGCCGTCGTCCCGCCGTCGTCCCGCCGTCGTCCCGCCGTCGCCCCGCCGTCGCCCCGCCGTCATAAGGCCTAGTTTGGGCTTAAACTAGGCCTTATGACGGTGTGACGACGGCGCGACGACGGCGCGACGACGACGCGACGACGGCTCGACGACGGCGCGACAGCCGTCGTCCCCCCGTCGTCCCTCCGTCGTCCCCCCGTCGTCCCCCCGTCGTCCCCCCGTCGTCCCCCCGGCGTCCTGCCGTCGTCCCTCCGTCATCCTGCCGTCGTCCCTCCGTCGTCTTGCCCTCGTCCCTCCGTCGTCCCACCATCGTCCCTCCGTCGTCCCACCGTCGTCCCTCCGTCGTTTTGCCGTCGTCCTACTTTTGTTGTGTGGACTAACACATATCTTTAGAACTTAGATAAGGTATGGGGATAAGGATGTTCCAGCTTTTTGGAGTCTACAGTAAAGCCTAAGCCCTATCATTACCCCGAAGGACTCGGACCTACTATAGAGGCAACCCAGGGCTCCTTCTGAGTCTATAGTTTGAGCATATTTACTAGCCGTTGGGATGTTTGGCATGTTCCCTTACTCGCTAATGATAAGTAGGGTTACAAGTATCCGGAAGAGGGTTATACGTATAGTTACCATACTTATAACCTTACTTGTCACTGCCCCCCATGAACCTCCAAGAATGGGGTTGAAAAAAGGATCCCTAAACCCTACACTCTACACCCTAAACCCTAAACCCTGAACCCTAAACCCCCCCCTCAAGCCCGGTCGCAGACGGACTCGATGCAGAAAGCTGCCAGCTTCGGAGAGCAGGCCTGGGGCTGTCAAAAGGCTCTAGGCCTCCAGGATGCTGCAGGACGTAGGGTTTAGGGTTTAGGGTTTTATGTTTAGGGTTTAGGGTTTAGGGTTTAGAGTTTAGGGCTACAGGGTGTAGGGATGCTGAGGGGTCGGTGAAGGGTTCTGGGTCGAGTGTTGCTTTTGAATGGATTTTGCATTCACAGGGCGGGCGCCGGGGGGAGGGGGGGAGGGGGGGTTTAGGGTTTAGGGTTTAGGGTTCAGCGCCAAATTTTCCAGACCTTGGGCTGGCTGTGACATGACGCGGCCATGTTCACAGTAGGGACACGTGACCGAAGCACCGCAAGATGCCCCTAAACCCTAAACCCTACACCTACAACCCTAAACCCTAAACCCTGAACCCTGAACCCTGAACCCTAAACCCCAAACCCTAAACCCTAAACCCTAAACCCTAAACCCTAAACCTAAACCCCTAAACCCCCAAACCCTAAACTTTCGTTCGTGCTTGGGCAGTGTGATCTGGGCCGTGCGATCTACACTCCTTCGCCAAGGCTCTCGTTGCGGCTGGTGCTGCTGCAGAGCAGGACTGGGATTCACGAAGAGGGTTTAGGGTTTTTGGGTTTAGGATGTAGTTTCTAAAATCTACGTATGGTAGGGTGCATGTGGGAGTGCAGAACATGCTGCGCCGGCAGTCTCCTTTCGCTTGGTGAGGCAGGGGAGGGCCTAGCAGCTATAGGCACCAACGCTAAACTCACCCTGTTCAGAGGGCAAGTCTACCCAACAATATGAAGGTGCGTTCGTTTGGTACTGCGCGTTGCGGATTACTCTAGGTAAACTTCGAAGTTATGAATCTGAACCCACCTACACCTAGCAGCGCAACATCCTAAACCCCATGGCACCGAGCCTCCTCAAAAAACACTCACTCCATGCGTGGTTATCCGCCGGTTTTCCCTAGATTCGAGGATTCGAAGGGCCCCTACACATCTGCATTCGCCTCCATTCTTTGGGCGAAGCTTTGAAACTCCAAACTCTCTAAGCCCTAAACCTTCACCCCAAGTCCCCCGAAACTCTGAGCTTCCCAGAGACCCCAATATCCCTTAATTAAGGAATATACCTTAAATCATAGTAGGATTCCTAATATGATTTAAGGTATATTCCTTAAATAAGGGATATTGGAGTCTCTAGCTTCTGCTCTCTTTCCATAGGCGGCCCGCCACGCAGACCGTGCCTTCCGGCTGCCGGCGGCGGCGCGCGCGATGCAACAAGCTCTTCCTTGGGTGTGTTTCGGGTTTAGGGTTTAGGGTTTAGGGGCGTAGAGAGCTGCACTGACTCAACTGCTGAATGAACCTTTCAGCATCGGAGCAAGGATGTTCTCATATGGGGGATTGTTCAGCATTGGTGTGGGTATATATATATATTCTCATGTATATGAATATATCTCCATTTTCCTATATATGTACTGTATATTACGCACATTTTGTTCGTTTGTAGTTCTGTACACATATGTACATCTGTGCGTCGCGGAAGAACGCCGCATACGCACTGCGCAAATCCACACCCGCAGCTTTCCCAGGAGCCTGGAACAGAGGCCATGGGTGAGTTCGAAGGCTTCTTGCCGCCAAGGCCTTTCGGCTTCAAAGAACCAGAGGAGGTCCAATGGTACCCACAAGTCCTCCTGTAAGGTTCATTCAACCCAAAAAGGGCGCCAAACATGCGATGCTGGGCTTCTCAGCCCTGCATGGTTTAGGGTTTAGGGTTTAGGGTTTATTGGCACACTGTTTGCGGCATAATCCGAGAAAACTGCCGCGGGTCTAGTGGCTTGCGACGAACTGCAGCTAGGGCACAGGGCTCGAAACCATAGCCCTCTGTCCAAAGGTGGTGGATCACATACGGCCGGAAAGCTATGGGGAGTTGCCATGTGCTCCTTCCACTGGCCTGCGCCACTTGGCCATTCATTGTGCCATGATCGCTGTCGAACTTGTTTACTGCATGCGGGTCATCCGATCCTGGTTCTCCTTGCTGGGATTGTATACTTTTCTGCTGTGAATTGAAGCCCCATATTGCCAATGTAGAATGCAAACTGTCGCCGCAGATTCCCAGCACTGCTGCAGCCCTAAACCCTAAAACCTGCTTGCCGCTCCTTTCAAGTCAGGTCCATGAAAGCGCGCCCCTTCGGCTGGGTTCTTCTCGAAGCCGCAGGAGCTTCGAAGCCCACTCGTATTATACCATATTATACTATCATGAGTGTGATCATTCGTATTATTATACTTCGTATTAATTCGACATATGCATATACAAAAATATATGTATATATATATATACATGTATCCTATACTGGTTTATTGTACAAAACATTTTTAAATTCCATTATTTCGTCCACTCCTGAGGGCCGGTTTAAGTCTTAAGGGTTGAATGGGCAAAGACCCTAAACCCTAAACCCTAAACCCTAAACCCTAAACCCTAAACCCTAAACCGTGTGTATCCTGGCACATTTTGCATGCGCCTTTGCATTGCCACGGGTGCACATCCTTGGGCCAAAGGAACCCAAAGGTGGGGGGTCATAATCCTCATACTGCTATAATCCCTATCAGGGTATATATAGCCTTAAACCCTTTAAGGGTTCATGTCCCCAAAGATGTTTGGTTGCATAAGACCCCTGGACTGGAGCACCAGGTCAACCCGACTGTCCCTGAGCAGCGGTTCTTTCGAACCAATCAGTGCTGAACAAAGGTTCTAAGAATACAACAATTTCCCTTTCATTGCTGTTAAGGTGTGCCCAAGGGGTATGTTGAATATTTCTGAGATAAGGTACCATCCGGACACAGCCTAACTATCCTGAGAAGCAGTCCTAAACTCTAGGCGAGATCTTGCACAACCCCTAAATTCAGGAACATACCCGAATTCACAATCATGATCCTTAGTTAGTATCAATTATAAATTAGGGTATATTCCTGAGTTAAGGGGTTTTGGAAGATCCGGGGATATGCGACTCTCCACCTCGCATCTTGCCGCAAGCTCCGGGCCACAAATTCTCGAGGAGGGACACCCGGCAAGTAGGCCACGCTCCTGGCTGTGAGTTCTTCTGTCTTCTTGCTCTTGGGAGATGGTGCGCGAGTGTTGCAAGGTTGGGATTGTATAGGCCGAACCCGATGGAATTCAGAAGTTTCAGGAGGTTCTTTCGTTCTATTCTTCCGGGGGTTCCTGGAGACGGGTCGGCTTCGCGGCGGACAGTTGTTAAGCTACGACGGCTGCCATTACTTGGGAGAAGCTTTGTTTTTTTGCGTTTGCATTGAGTTGTTGCCTGTGCAGGTGGATTTCTTTGAGATGACGCCTGCCTGTCCATCATCCAAAACGGCTGCTGGGTTTGATGGCTCCTCAAAGGCACGCTTAATGCGCAGGCTCTGCCAAACTGAGCAGTGCTCCCTCCAGCCAAATGCGAGCCGCAGTGCGATGCGGAAAAGCAGCTGCAGTGCATAGTTGAGGACCAGAGACCGATGTCTCGATTCGGACTCTGTTGAGCACCACCTGCCTTTTCATTACATGGATCCGAGTCCCGCCTGCATGCTGCATCTTTGCCACCCGCCGGTCCAGGCTGCTGCTCACAGCCCCGCGGCACATGACATGTTCAAAAGGCGTTCAATCACAAGCAGTCCAAGTGGAACCTGGAAGTATGCAAACCGGCCTTGACTTGTCTAGAGCTTGCGTCATCATGACAGCTAGTTCTTACATCTTCCTTCGCCAATTGAGAAGCCCGCCCCCCACCATAAGCCCACACTCTCGCATCAGTCGTTGCCTTTCCTATTCCGGTCTTCTGCTTTGATTGCGAAAGCTGCACAACCCTTCACGACCCCCACGCAGCCCAGATCCAAGCACGGCAGCGCACGACGCAACGTAGGGAGACCGTGGCTCCACGTGGCCCCGCCTGCGCAAGTGGGGAGCAAGCCGGCAGCCCAGACGGACAAGACTCGCCTCCCAGAATATACCCCTACTTCCAAAACCCCTTAAACTCAGGAATATACGCAAATTTACATCAAGCATCATGATGTGAATTAGGGGTTTATATTCCTTAATTAAGGGGTTTGTGAAGATCTGGGTGCCCCCAAATTAAAATGTAGGGACCCTTTATGTGATTTAAAGTATATGGCCCTCAATTCTAGGGGTTAGGGTTTAGGGTTTAGGGTGTAGGGTTTGGGGTTTGGCTGATCTTTTGGAGGGGGACGGAGGTGCAGACTGTGACCACAGCAAAAGAGGACGCCGAGTGCCGACTGCTGTGGCGCTTGCGCCCAGGCAGTACCCAGAGAGCCCAATACCCCCTTAATTCAGGAGCATACCTTATATTATATAGGGCCTCATATCGGGATCCTTCATATATGATTTAAGGTGCATTCCTTAATTAAGAGATATTGGGCTCTTTGGGTAGTGGTTGCGCTGTAGCTGCAAAACTGCCGTATAAGGTTGACATGCCTTTCGATACTTTCCCAGAGAGCCCTTTATACCCCGCAGTTAAGGAGTATGCCCTAAATTACATAGGGATCCTGAATATGATTTAAGGTATACGCCCTTCCTAAAAGGGTATAAGCTCAATGTGATTTCAGGTATATTCCCTACTTAAGGGGTATAAGCTTTATGATTTAAAGTATATTCCATACTTAAGGGGTACAAAAAGGGCTAGTTGGGTTGATTTGCGTGGAAACATCTCATAAGCCCAGATCTTCCAAAACCCCTTAAGACTAAGGAATGTGCCCTAATTTTACTTAAGATCATGATTATGAACCAGGGTATGTTCCTTAATGAATGGGTTTTACCCTAAACCCTAAACCCTAAACCCTAAACCCTAAACCCTAAACTCTAAACCCTAAACCCTAAACCCTAAACCCTAAACCCTAAACCCTGAACCTACAACCCTAAACCGTTTGAACAATCTCAGAAGGATCAAGGCAGGAGAGAGTAGGGCAAGCCGCAGCTGTCGCATCGACCCGGTGGCTCTTCAAAGCTGCACAGCGCCGTAGCCCTAAACCCTAAACCCTAAACCCTAAACCCTAAACCCTAAACCCTAAACCCTAAACCCTAAACCCTAAACCCTAAACCCTAAACCCTAAACCCTAAACCCTAAACCCTAGCCCTAAACCCTAAACCCTAAACCCGCGCTAGACATCTAAAAGAGGTCATTTGGGTTGTAAAAAAGCCCTAAACCCTAAATCCGACTCGAGCCATGCCACCAACCAGCGCCTCGCACTCTGGCAGGGCAGAGATTGCCACTTTCTCCATGGGTGCCCTGGCCTGGGTTTAGGGTTTAGGGTTTAGGGTTTGGGGTTTAGGGTTTAGGGCTTGGAGTGCATGTGGTGCCGGAAGTCAACAGTATTGAGATTGACCTGAGCAGAACAGACTCGTCCTCGAGCCCAGTTGCAAGAAAGGGTTTAGGGTTTTAGGGCTTAGGGTTTAGGATTAAGGTTGAGGGTTTGGGGTTTAGGCCTGGCTTCGCCTTATGACAATCAGGCAGAGAGCAACGCATCGACTCTAGCAGAGCTCCCGTGAAAGGTTCACTGTCGGACACCAACTCAACCTGTGACGCTACGAAACCCTAAACCCTATAAACACTATAAACCCTATAAACCTTATAAACCCTATAAACACTATAAACCCAAAAAAGCTTAAAAACCCTACAAGCACTACAAACCCTATAAACCTTAAACACCCTATTTGAACCAGGGAGGGGGGAGGGGTGAACTCCTAGCGAGCCTCGACCAGTCCTTGCGGAGTGGGTGCCGGCAAGCAAAGCCCTAAGCCTCGCACCCTAAAACCTTAGAACCCTAAACCCTCTAAACCCTACACACGCTAAACCCTATGAACCCTAAACCCCTAAAGCCCTAAACCCTAAACAATATGAACCCTAAACCTACTAAAGCCCTAAAACCCTAAACCCTATAAACCCTAGAAACCCTAAACCTAAGGATGATTCTGGGCGCCGCAACAGCGCTTCGCGCAGCTGCCAGGGGTGCTCCGCGCCACGGCTGGGCGGCCTGGCCAAGGGAGCAATCAGACTTCGCATCTCTCCTCTTGCTGGCTCGTTTAAAGGGTTTAGGGTCTTGGGTTTGGGGTTTGGGGTTTACTTAAGAACCCACCCAATAAACTCCCTATAATACCCCTGTAAGGAAGAATATGTTTCTTTTTTGCGGCTCTTCTTAAGCAATTGGTAGTATAGCATGCTAGGTAGGCCCTGGGGACATGTTCTGTCTCCCCTTCTTGGGTTAACATGCGGATTAGGGTTTAGGGTTTAGGGTTTAGGGTTTAGGGTTTAGGGTTTAGGATTATATTTCGAAATATTGTGGCAAAGGGTTTCAAGCGCCAGCTTGGTACGGAATTGGGTCCCTCCCTTGGTCCTTGAAGGCTGACATATTCACCATCTCTGCATATATGTGTATTAGCCATATATATATATATGTATATGTATATGTATGTATATATACATACTTACATATGTAATATTGATATATATATATATATGTGGATACATACATACATACATATATATATATACATATTTGTAAGGCACGTGATGCCTAGAACTCCCTATACTAACGACCAGGAGTTAGGGAGCGACATCGAGCAACGAGGGTGGCCCAAGCCGAGCTGAGGTACACGGGTGGCCGGTGCGGGTCTCGGGCCCGCCTAGAGGGGAATCTGGATGGCGGTTTAGGTTCAGGGTTTAGGGTTCAAGGTTCAGGGTTTAGGGTTCAAGGTTCAGGGTTTAGGGTTTAGGGTTTAGGGTTCAAGGTTCAGGGTTTAGGGTTTAGGGTTCAGGGTTTAGGGTTTAGGGATATGATCGAGGCGGGCGAAGTCTCTTGGGACAAGGGTTAGGGTTTGGCTCCAGACGGTGTTGCCATGTTGGTGAGGCAAGGGTTTTCTTGGCTCGGCTGTCCATCCCGGGGCAAACAGAGTGGCACCCCGATGTGCAAGCGGTTGCAAGTTGAGAGCTCAGCTGTTTGCAATTCAGCCCTGAACGCTAAACCCTAAACCCTAAACCCTAAACCCTAAACCCTAAACCCTAAACCCTAAACCCTAAACCCATTCTTTGGGGCGCACCTTCTTCTCGTCATCCCAGCATTCTTTCTCTGAGGTCTGCCAAGCCAACCTACCGCTCGGTGTGCAACGGCGACGGTGTCTTGGTTCAGGGCATGCCGGGAGCGCATTATCAGCAGTAGTATTATTATTATTATTATCTTTATTGTTTTAATTTGATGAAGAAACGATTACATATAGGTGGTTTAGGGTTTAGGGTTTAGGGTCATACGTGCCCTGGCCCAGGGCATGCGGAGTCGGTGCAGGTAGAGTACGACCCTGATGTCATCTCATACCAGGCCAGATTCTGCGAAGTGGGGGCGGCCTGTGGACTCTTATTAGGGACCTTAAAGGGGTTCTTTGGGGGGTTATTCTCAGGGCGACTTAGGTATAAAGGACAACATAAGGGTTATTTAGGGGGTTATACAGGGGAATGAGATGAAGGGTCCCTTCTGGGGGGTCCCTTCTTATACCCCTTAAGTTCAGGAGCTGCTGGACACCTTCTGGCAGAATCACAAGCCCAAGCCAAGCGAGAAAGGCGAGCTGCCCAGCAAGAGTGGGGAGTCACGCACGGAGGTCCGGGGGGGAGAGCAAATGTTTCTGATATGGTGTATATGAATATATATATATATATATATATTGATATTTATATTTAATTATATGTAAGCAATGGACTGTTGTTTTCTCTGCTGCTGTATAGACCTCAGTGCAATGGCATGCGTTGACAACAGGCCTGGATAAGTTGGACTGCATGGATGTTTGTGCGTGGGGGAGTGGAGTTTCCACTTGAAGCAGCGCCTGCTGAGGTCAGTACAGGTCGAGCATCTGGTACCACAGTGCGGAGCAAAGGTGGCTGGCTCAGGGCGGAAGGATGCAACATTCGTAGAATCGTAGATCAAAGCCCCCAAGCGCTGGGTTCAAAGGCCTAAAGCACATGCCCTAAGCTTCTAACTCCAACACCTCCTCAGCCCCAGACAATCAACATCTAATGTTGGAGGGCTTGTGGCACCAGGCATAAGCCCTAAGCCCTAAGCCCTAAGCCCTAAACCCTAACCCTAACTGCTCGCAAATCCTCGCAAAGCTAAGATAGGCGCGAGGCGTCTCGGGGGAGGGAACCCTCAGTGCCCAAAGAGCCCAATTTTGCTTCATTAAGGAATATACCTTAAATCGTATTCAGGATCCCTATATGATTTAAGGAATATTCCTTAATCGAGCTATATTGGGCTCTTTGGGTGAAGTCCTGCTGCAAGACTTGCCCGCCTTGCGCGAGATTGACATTCGAAACCTGAAGACAACTTTGGCTTGAAAACGTGGTTCAAGCTCACGTGAGAGTAAACGTGCTTAAGTAAGAGTTGGAGCTTTTTCTAGTATCATGTAGAGAACCCTGTGAGATTGTTACCGATGCTTAGGCTCCTCGCCGAAGCATCCGTGGCGGCTCGGGGTGGACGTGCCACAGGGCTGGCGGAGGTGGCACCCGAAACCCTAAACTCTAAAGACCCTAAACCCTAATGTGGCTCGTCCAGGAGCTGAAGGCCTTGAAAATGGAGCTGTCGTCAGCTAAACGTTGCAAGGGATCGTGTGACCGTTACTTGGAGGTTCAGGGTACGTATTGAACAATTAAGTAACGATGATTAGCCCACGGACAAGCTCCCTAAGTGCCCTAAGATGGCTATAAGCACAGTATGTACTTTGTTAATAAGTGCCATGCACCTCCAAGTATGAGAACTTCCTGGAGGGTTCGAAGTTACAGCTTGAAGACCAAGGTTCCCCAAACTTCTCGGAAGCAGGTTAGGGTTTAGGGTTTAGGGTTTAGGGTTTAGGGTTTAGGGTTTAGGGTTTAGGGTGTAGGGTCCCACATCCCAGAGTCTCAGAGTGTTTAGCGTTCATCGGGTTTCGGGTGGGGGGGGGGGGGGGGGGGGGGGGGGGCATGCCAGTGTTTTTTCTCGTGCGTCCGGCATTATCCTCAGTTCCGGGTTCAAAGGGGGTAATGCCATGGACAGGCATCTACTTTTCACGCTGCGGAGGCACACCATCAGATGCTTGGCATTGTTCGGGGAGTTAGGCGTTGTGCTGCATATCTTTGCACGCAGATGGGCTGTTGCAACATGAAGTGTAGTGTGCAAGGTTGGTGCTGCTGTTTCATGGTTGTTCTGCATATGCAAGCGTTGGATTTGCAATGTCGGGTGAGTGCTCAAGGTGTATCCAGTTGGCAAGGGCAAGGGTGTGTCGTGACGCATCCTTGTCGTGACGCTTCCTTGTGGAAGGAAAGTCGGTGCTTCCCAGACTGCACTGTCGCCGGATAGCACTTCTCGCTGCGAAGCTTGGCCGACTAACCCAGATTGCAGACTTGCATATATGGGTCGTTCTCTAAATGAAGGTCCTGTTTGGGATCCTACACATAGTACGGCACCCTTGTAAGAAGGAACCAGCAAGGGACCTTTATTTAGAGAACTACCCATTAAGTATAGGTCCATCGTAGAATCATTGCTCGGCTTTTCTTCGGTTGGTGTGTGAAGAATTGCGATGTACAACCCACCGTGGGCTGGGTCTGCCAGCTGTTTTCACGGGAAGGACAAATCCAGGGACCTCAAGGGACCGCCCAAACCTAGACTTCCCAGTTCACCGAGTCAGTTCTGCACTGGGGGTACAAAGGGGGGGGGGTACAAGGGGGGAATAAAGGGTGGTAAGGGGTGTTGAAATCTCTGCGCTGCATGCTGCGCGGGGGGGGGGGGGTGGCCGATGGCCGCAGAACCCGAGGATGTCCAGTGACGGCTGCGCTTTGTGAAGCCTTGGGCGCCTCGACACGCTTTTTTTGTGAAGCCTTGGGCGCCTCGACACGCTTTTTTTGTTGATTACTCTGTTTTGGTTTAAGTTTCATGTGAAAATTTTGTAGAATTTAACAGAACAAGGTAGGCAGGCTGCACTGCGCGACTTTTTCCGGAAGAGTACAGAGCGGATGTTGCTCCAGGGCTCATGCCCTAGATACCTGAGATCCATTTCTGCAACCCTTAACACGCACCGCTTTTCTCTGGCCGAACTCACACACATGAACCTCAACGATGCTCAACGGTTCCAACTGCCTGCGCAAGAAGGTAGGACCTTCATTCAGCTCGGTTTAGGCTGTAGGGTGTTAGGGAAAACGGCCTCTAAGGGATCTTTAGGGGCCATATTGGGAGTTATGTTGAGGGTACCTCTTACGAGTACATCCTTTAACGGTCCAGGTTTGACCGCCTTTGATTCCACTTCGCAACCAAGGGGAGATGCTCTTTGCAACCTTATGGCTGAGATGCGCGCCGTGATGCGGGAGCTTCACATGTAGAGCTTTCCAAGTCGTGGAGTGTGAGCGGTGAAGGACCGGCGACCGAGAGATGTCGATAGGTAGATCCCGGGTTTAGGGTTGAGGGTTGAGGGTTTAGGGTTTAGGGCCTGCATGAAGTTTGATTTAGTTTGCTACTCTCCTTGTAGAGGAGGAGGGCGCAGTCGGCTGCAGCGAAGGCTCTGGACAAAAGATGGTCCTGTCGCGTTGAACATGCTGCGCCCTATGCCCGATGGCCCTATGGACCCTACTTGGAGGTTCGTGGGTAGCTATAATCAGGGTTAGAAGTATGGTAGCGACACTTATACTTCTGACCCTATTTAGGGTACGTATAACCATACTTAGAACTACTCACGAACCTCCAAGTAAGCGCTAAAAGCTAGTGGTTTGCTTGGTGGGCAACACAGAATCCTTAATGTTTCGCCAAATCCAGAAAATATGTTCCGAGTGGGACGGGGCCAAACCTTGTGGTCTCGCAATGGCAACATCTGCTGCAGCCACGAAAAACAAGAACCTCTTGCTTCTCGAAGCTTTGAAACGTCAGCTGCCTGCGCGGCTTCCCGCAATCCCAACGTCAAACCTATACCTACCATGCGCTAAACACCCCCACCAAGAAATAATGAGATTTTCTTCCTGGTAAGGGCAGCATAGGCATTACCATCTTGACATTTTCGGGGGTTCTTACAAGCAAATCGTAGTTCGAAGTGCAATCAGAACAATAATTCACAAGCCTCAGGTCAGTTGAAAACCCAGATCTTCCAAAACCCCTTAATTAAGGAACACACCTTAATTCAAAATAATGATCCTTAGTATAAATTCGGCTTGTTTCAAAAGGCCCGCGTACCACGGGGCCCAGGCGACGTCTCCAGGAGGGTGTTCTGGTCATGCCGCTGAAGGGCGTCAGGACCCGAGCCGGCCAAGTGACTTTAGGGTTTTGGGTTTAGGGTTTAGGGACTTTCCGGCCAGAGTTTGCAGGGTTTGGGGGGTGTGTGTTCATTAGGGTTTATTTAGGGTTCGGCAGCAGGGTGAAAGGATCATCACAGGGCTGTGGGGCGCTTCTAGGGTCTGAGTGCCTAGATGGACTCGGGCTTATGTCGAAGGCTGTTCAACATTTTTTCGATTTGGGGTCCCAAAAGCAATGTGAGACAGGTTCTATTGAGTTCTGCCATGGAAAACCGGTACTTGAACCGTCATCGTCCTTTCGAACAAGCTCGTAACCGGATGTTTGTGGATCTTGCCTGCAGTCTGGCCGAAATCCAGAACTACACAAGATGACCTGTAATTCATTTCTACACTTCCCAAGCCCTGTCAAAAATAGTTGCTTGTTTGACGCTGCTGTAGTGAAACTCGGAAAGGTCAAAGGCAGGCGACTGCCTTGTGCATCCTCTGTGCAATGGCACACTCGGTTCACCGAGTGAAGGTTTTGACTGGTCATGCAGCAGCTCTGCTGCCTACAGCTTGTGCAAGTGGAGATGATGGGGATGTGGACCTGGACGGCCTTGCTTATGGATTCATGGCTTCGCAGGCTTCTTCTCATGCGCTGTTACGCAGTGTCACGATGGTTACTTGAGCTTGAGGGACTGCACTAGCTTCACTAGCTGCCACGGTGCTGACCGGTGCGTATGGGACGACAACTTTCGCTGACTGAGAGGGAAGGTCGTGCACGGTTTCAGGCGTGAGCGTGCGCGGGGTTCGTCTGAGAATGAGGATCTACGGAGCTGCACGCATTGAGGGAAGCACAGGATGGGGGTCGTGTCAGCAGGGTCAGCACCATCAGAGGCCCTAAACCCTAAACCCTCAACCCTAAACCCCAAACCCTAAACCCTAAACCCCAAACCTAAACCCTAAACCCTAAACCCTAAACCCTAAACCCCAAACCCTAAACCCTAAACCCTAAACCCTTCTGCAAAAAGGAGACTGAAAGAGGGACACCCCAGCTGGACGCCAATCGTAACAGCAATCGCCCTCAGAGGGACCACCATGGATGCCCAAGGCCTGCTGAGAAGGAGACGAAGAAAGAGAGAGCAAGCAAGTGAAAACACGTGTTTTTTGTTTTTTGCTTGGGCAGCAGACAAGAGAGAAGGAACACAGAAACAGAAGATTCCACCCGGAGGATGCAAGAAGTAACGCACGGCCCATGGTGGCAGAAATGCCTGAAACAGAACGGGATGGAGATTTGGCGTCCCTTCACACCAAGCCCAAGCCAATAAGGCCAATAAACTCTGGACTTAGTACTTACGTAGTGGGAGGTTCCCCCTTATACTATAGCAGTCCTTATTGGGAGTTATAATAGGGGGTACTGTACTCCCTATGAAGGACTGTTTGTATAGGGGGGGAAGATCCCAACTTACTTAGTTCCTAAACCCTAAACCCTAAACCCTAAACCCTATACCCTAACCCTAAACCCTAAATCCTAGATCCTAGATCCTAAACCCTAAACCCTAAACCCTAAAACCCTAAACCCTAAACCACTCCGTCCCTGGCGCAGGCTCTCTTTGCTGGGCTGGAGCTCGGCGTGTTCGATCAGCTGGCACAGGGTCCCTATATCCCCCGTGGGAATCATTTTTTTCTTTTTGTTTATATAAAACAAACCCAAGAGGAAATAACAAATGTTAACCTTTTAATTTTTGTTTATATAAACAAACCCAAGAGGACATTTTTAAAACAACAAGTTTATTAAGGTTCTAAGGGGAGTATAAACCCAAGAGCATATTTAAAAATAATATGTTTATTAAGGTTCCACAAGGGGAGTGTAGGTCCGCAAAGTGCCTCCGATCTGGCCAAGGGCCTTGGAATTCCCGGCAATCGGATCCAGACGTTGCTGACAGCACTCCTGACGGATACTTGGGAAAGGTTTTTTTGTTAAACTTAATTTGTGGGTGCTATAATTCCAAAGAAACAGCAAACATTAATGTTTGTGTTAGGGTGCCAAGTTCAGCATAGGCACTGGTGGCGGCAAAGTGCCTACGCCGAGACGAATCCCATCTCTACCGGAACTCGCCCAACGTCCAAAAGTACATGGTGACATCTTCCAAGGCATACTACGGCGACTACTTCAAGTACCAAGTGGCAGGTCTGTTCTATGCCCGAATGGGGCAGCTTGCAAGCGTGTTGAGAGGAGAAGAGGTGCTCAACTACTCCACGTGGTTCTCGGACCCTGCTGTAGCATCCCTCTACACTTCCGCTCAACACAATGGTAGCCTAGCCACAGCGAGGTCACTTTTCAAGAAGGTGTCCCTTGCGGGAGTCGGTCGGATGCTTGACATCGGTGGAGGCAGCGGAGCCTTCTCCTTGCAGGCTGCGCGTGGGAACCCCCAGTTGAGAGCCACCGTGCTGGAGCTTCCGGAAGTGTGCCGTGTTGGGAGAGAGATGATGCAGGAGGCACCGGAAGATGAGAGGGCAAGAGTCAACTTCAAGGAGCTGGATGCCACTTCACCCACCTGGCCCCTTAGGGATACTTGGAAATACATTTTTTAATGTTTCGGTACTACATAATTCCTAAGAAACAGCTAGTTAGTTATGCTTTTTTGCTAGGGTTCCAAGCTCAGTGCAGGCCCGTCGAGCCGGAGTCTCAAGATCTGACTCTCATGTCCTACCTCTGTGGCTCGGTGCCCGAGGCTACCATCGCAGAGCTCTGCGAGAATTGCTTCTAGGATGCCCAGTAGTACCCTCATTCCCTTTTTGGGGGGTGTAGGTTCCCTTATGAACCGCTTCAAGGCCCCCTTTTTAAGCCTTAAACCCTAAACCCTAAACCCTAAACCCTTTAAGCAAAAAAGGGCCCCCTTTTTAAGCCTTGGCTACTGGGCAGCCTAGGCTTCCGCGTGCTTCGCTCCAAGGGCCGACTCGTGGTGCACGACTTCATGGTCGAGGACCCTACCTACAACCCTAAAAGCCCTAAAACCCTAAAGCCCTAAAACCCCTAAAAACCCTAAAATCCCTAAAAACCCTAGAAACCCTAGAAACCCTAAAAACCCTAAAAACCCCTAAAAACCCCTTAAAAACCCTCAAAAACCCCTAAAAACCCCTAAAAACCCTAAAACCCTAAACCCTAAACCCTACTTCATGGTCGAGGACACCCGGGATGGCCCGGCTTTGGGAGCCTACTGGGCACTGCAACACGTCACCGTGAATCCCACCGGCCCCTTGGGGATCGATAGAACCCTAAGGGTTTAGGGTTTAGGGTTTAGGGTTTCCTAAAACCCTAAGATTTGGGGCCAGAATATCCTCTACTACTATCATAATCCCTTTTAGAGTATGTCCCTATACTACTGCTTTATATAAATATATGTGTATCTATGTATGTATATATATATATATACATATTCCCATTATGGCATATGAACCATAATAGCCCCTTCGGGGCTTTTGTTGGTCCCGCAAGGTCTTGGCTTGGCGCCAAGCGACATCAGCGAGCGCATGAAGTCCGTGGGCTTCGAGAACATCGAGTCCTTTGACCTGATCGCAGGCATGACCAAGGTCGTGCTTGCGACAAAGCCATGATGGGTTTAGGGTTTAGGGTTTAGGGTTTAGGGTTTAGGGTTTAGGGTTTAGGGTTTAGGGTTTAGGGACGGCACCCTGCATCGGCTACGCGGTTTGCCTTAGACATGGATACTCTTTTGAGCCGCGCGCCCCCATTTTGAAAAGGAGCTGTCTGGGCAGGAACAAAAGCCGCGTGATCCTTCTGTCTTGCGTGGCACTTCCAGCAGCAAACATGCATCATGCTCCTTCGCCCTGAACTCCAAGCTTTGTCAATCCTAAACATGAAGCCATCTTAACCCGAAACCCTAAGCTACTAATTGCTTAATTAGGAACCCCCAGAAAACAAAAACACACATTCTTCCTTATAAGGGTAATATAGTGATGATTATTGTTTATCCTTTGGGGTTCTTAAGCAAATAGTAGTAAGCCGGGCCGTGATCAACTCCTCCCCTGAAATTGCGGCGTCGTCCTGCTGTAAAGAAGCGCAGTGAAGCATCTTGTATCTTCACCCCAGAGCCTGAAACCTGGAGCTCCAAAATAGGGGCTCCCCGGGGCCCTTCCGGGTTTTTAGCCCCAACAAGGCCCAACATTTCGTGGTTTAGGGTTCAAGCCCTTGCTAGAGTATGGGGGTCTAGTAAGGCGTGCTGGAAGCCTGCCTGTGGGCAGTTTCTGGCAGCACCCACAGGAGTCCGGATGCAAAGAAAAAGGGTTTAGGGTTTAAGGTTTAGGGTTTGGGGTGGTTTAGGGTGGTTTAGGGTTTAGGGTTTAGGGTTTAGGGTTTAGGGTTGCTCCCCAACGTGTGCGCGGCAGCCGAGGTGGAGCTCGAAGTGGTCGAAGGCATAACAGAACATTCGAGCCGCGTGGCGCTGAAAGGACGGCCGGGCCTTGGGGTGTAGGGTTTAGGGTTTAGGGTTTAGGGTTTAGGGTTTAGGGTTTAGGGTTTAGGGTTTAGGGTTTAGGGGTCGGAATAAATACTACTAGTATTCCCTTAGGGTCCCTTTATGATTATACTAAATTAACCCCCAGAACCCTATTCCAATTGTTCAGGCCCCTATAGTACCCAAAGAGCTCTTTATGCCCCTTAGTGAAGGAATATATTAGTGTTTAGGGTTTAGGGTTATACCTTTAACCTATAAAACAATTTATAGGGATCCTTTAAATGATTGAAGGTATATTCCTTGATTAAGGGGTATTGGGCTCTCTGGGTACAAGGGCTTTTTTACGGGGCTGAAGGTTTCTGTATACTTGGAGGTTTCATGGGTAGTTCATAAGGAAGGTTATAGGTACCCCAAATAGGGTAATAAGTCGAGTTACCATACTTATAATAGCCCATGAACCTCCAAGTAGGTTGAGGCGCAGTCAAATGAAGTGGGCTTCTGCACCTCGAACAGTCCCATTTCTGCTGCTTGCGGCGATGCGTGGCGTAGAGGCAGGACGTGACCAAGCTACTGTGCTCGGTTCGGAAGGGTTCTTTCTGGGTTGCAGTGAAAGTTTGGAAACGTTGTCAAAAGGTGCCTTCGCTCGGTTTACATGTCGCCGACCCTGTGCCCTCTTGGCCCAGGAGTCTTTCAGAACTTCGGCGATGTCGTGTCCTGCTGGGCACAAGTCTCAGCAACGACACAGTTGCAAATTCTAGGACTCTGGGACCATGCCCAAAACATCTCGAAAAGGTCATGAGTCGTGAGCAGTGTGATTGGAGTACGTCCGAAGATCCTTTAGCCGGGCGGAGCCGAACTCCAAAAGAAGATGCTGCTAAGTGGTGCTAGTTCACTGCTCTTACCCTAAACCCTAAACCCTAAACCCTGTGTCTGTGCCTCAGGTACCCCCTGTTGATAGACGAGGCACGGACAAGGCCAACCGGGCACGAGCTATTCCTATTTTGTACCCAAAGAGCCCAGTCTTGCTTATTTAAGGAATATTCCTTAAATCATATAGGGATCCTTAATATGATTTAAGGTATAATTAAGCTATATTGGGCTCTTTGGGTACTTTCCTTATGACGTACCCTATGCTGGAGTCCAAAAAAAGTCCCTGGCCCTGGTCTACTAACCCCCCAAAATTATCAGGGCCTCTTTCGTCATATTTCGTTGAACTTCTACTTGGAGGTTCATGGGTAGGTACAAGTAGGGTCAGAAGTACCCTAGATAGGGTTACAAGTATAGGCACCATACTAACAACCCTACTTTTAACTACCCGTGAACCTCCAAGCCGCCCTAAACCCTAAACCCTAAGCCCGAAGCCCTAAGCCCTAAACCCTAAACCCTAAAACCCGAAAACCCTAAAACCCCAAAACCCTAAAACCCTAAAACCCTAAACCCCAAACCCTAAACCCTAAACCCTAAACCCTAAACCCTAAACGCCCACGGCCGCAGGCATCGGTGCGCTTCGCCAACGCCCAGGCCGCCGAGGCCGCCAAGGAGGCCTGCGACGCTGGCCAGGCAGGGGGGGGGGGGGTTTAGGGTTTAGGGTGTAGGGGTTTAGGGTTTAGGGATATATATATATATATATATATATATTATATGTATGCAAAAAACTTATGGGTGAAGGGCTGGGGGTTCGGAGAGGGAAAGTTTGGGGGCTTCGGGGTTTAGAGTTAGGGTTTCGAGTTCTGATGTTTGGGAGGTGAGCGTATTCATGGTCCACAAGCACAGTCCAAGCTGTGCAGCTGCGTAGTTGCGTTGAGCCAGCATCCTGATGGGTAGCATTTCTGTGCGGTTACAGAGACTCAGCCCTGATTAGGGTTTAGGGTTTAGGGTTTATAGGATTTAGGGTCTGGGGTTTCGGGTTTAGGGTTTAGGGTCTACACTTGAAGGGGGTATCAAACCATGAGAAGCCTTGCTTGTGTTCGAGTCGTGCCAGACCTTTAAGTTACAGAATCGTGGCGTATAACACTGAAATTTGTACATAGTGCCCTTTTGTAGCTACGTCTTAAAGAGAGCTTCTGTACGGAAACAACCCATGTTCTCTGAGACGTTCCGTTTCGAAAACAGATGGGACCAGGGGTGCTGCAGTTCCTGGAAGCTTCAATTACCATATACAAACCAAAAACCTATCCCTTGCAGTTTTTGTTGGGACAAGCCCTTTTCGGATGCTTTGGTAACTGTTGAAGTAGTTGTTGCGTTCCCCAAGAAACCCTAAACCCTAAACCCTACTGAAGGTAGGGTTTAGGGTTGAGGGTTTAGGGTTTAGGGTTACGGGCTTCGAGTGGCCGACACTTTCGGTCGCTCAGGGCCTTCGCAAGTTTCGGGACGGCCGGCTCAACTTGCAAGCCAGATGGGTAAACCCTAAACCCTAAACCCTAAACCCTAAACCCTAAACCCTAAACCCTAAACCCTACTTAGGGTTTGGGGTTCAGGTTTAGGTCCCCTGTTTAAAGGGGGGGTTTTGCAGAGTCAGACCAGACCAGGTCTTCCTGCAAGGCATGATGGTCAAGGCAAACTGGCGATCAGGAGGAGGTAGGAGAGTACGGGCCTCATGGACGGACCCAAAGAGCCCAAGATTGCTTAACTAAAAGGAATATGCCTTAAATCATATAGGGATCCTTAATATGAAATTTAAGGGTATATTCCTTAGTTAAGCTATGTTGGGCTCTTTGGGGAGGTGTCAGGAAGCTTTGCGCTGCAATTCACAGGACATGCTGATGGACTAAGGTCCCAGAATTACCCTTTTTTTTAGGGTTTAGGTTCCCTTCGGAGCCCCTTGTGAAACCAAAAAAGAGTACATTTTTTACCCGTTTAGGGTTTAGGGTTTAGGGTTTAGGGTTTGGGTTTTGGGTTTAGGGTTTAGGGTTTAGGGTTTAGGGTTTAGGGTCCTAGTTTACTCTTGGGTCTCGTAGATGGGTGGATGCACGCATGAATCACAGTCATGAACGAATCCGCCAACGCAGGCGGCTGTTATGTGAGCTTGTTTCGGAGCGCATCAGGACTTCATGTGACAGCTTTGAAAAGAAGCACCCTAAATCCTAAACCCTGCACTTGCGATGGATGTTTCGCATCCCTGCAGTGTTGTTGCGAGGCTGCAAAGCAGGTGGCTAAAACCCCTTAAAACCCGAAAACCCTAAAACCCTAAAACCCTAAAACCCTAAAACCCTAAAACCCTAAGCCCTAGAAGCAAGCAGCCGTCACACCCTCCGAAGCGTGGCGCACCCTGGGCCCCTGGGGACCACAGGAACCTG